TGAAACTTTATACTTTAAACCTGTAATGGTAGATGCTAGTGTAGGTTGTGTAGATTCAGCTTTAGAATATTTTTGTGGTTACCAGTCAGTTGAAAATGAAAAACACTTAATTTCTATTGCTGGAATAAATCAAGAGATTTTTAATTTATTTCTTACATACATTCCAGAACAGTGCCATTCAAAAAAGAGCAGGGAAGATAGGCTATTATTATGTTTGGTTAAAATAAAATTAGGAATAACATTTACAGCAGTATCAATATTTTTTAAATTACATCGTTCTACATGCTCAAGAATTTTTAAATCTGTGTTATCAATATTAGTGTCGAATACCAAATCATTTATATTTTGGCCAAGCAAGCAGTCAATTATTTCTACCTTACCAATGGCATTTAAATTACATTATCCTAATTGTCGGGCAATAATTGATTGTACTGAGATAAAAACTGAGCAGCCTCCCAATGTTAATCAACGCGTTTTTATGTATTCAAATTATAAATCAGCTTACACTTGTAAATTTTTAATTGTTATTGCTCCAAATGGTATGATAACATTTTTGTCTAAAGCTTATGGGGGAAGATCCAGTGATAGTTTTATAACTAATGATTCAGGATTTTTAAATTTATTAGAACCTGGTGATGAAATAATGGCTGATAAAGGTTTTCCAGGAATAAAGACTGCTGTAGGCGAAAACAACTCTGTATTAGTCATGCCTCCTTTTATGCACAATGGTACTCTAACTCAAGATGAAATTATAAATACCTACCAAATTGCCAGTGTTAGGATTCATGTTGAAAGATCAATTCAAAGAGTAAAAATTTATAATATATTACAAAAAATACCTACAGAGTTATTAGAGTGTATTGATAAGATCATATTTTTATGTTGTGTTATGACAAATCTGCAACCACCTACAATTAAAGCACCACTTTAATCCTTTATATTTTGTAAACACTTTTACTTAAGTGGTATTTTCTTGTTATAATAATTTTATTTTTATTTTATATACATAAAATATTATGTTTAAATAAATACTACTATGTGTAAACACCATGTTATATATTTAATAGATCATAATAATCTAAGTGATTAATTAACATACTTTATAAAAATAATGTAATAATATAAATAAGAACAGTAAAATCTATACCTTGTTGAATGACATTTTGAAAAACAATAACAACTTTCTTTAGTTTGTAGGTAACAACTAACAATTACAATAAAATAATATTTTTTTAAAACTAAGAAATAATAATCATAAGGTAATGTAAAATAAAATAATAATAACTTTTAATTAATGCGCATAGAATAAAGTTATAAACCAAAATTCAAAATACATTTTTTTAAATAGAATTTAAAATAAAAATCTCCTAATTTCTGTATAGTATTTTTTAAAAAAATATCATCCCTGTTAACTTCTATCAATAATGAATTAAAATTTTCAGAATAAATAAATAAATCACAAAAGTTAAGACCACAGCAATACATTAATATTTGACATTGAGTAAAATAAATGTGGCTCTTTTTTAATTCAATAATATTATTACTGCCTCTAATTAAATAACTTAAATTTAAGTTTCCTGTTTCATCAACAATTGGATTATTTTGACATGATATTGGGCATTTTATTTCTAATACTTTAAATGCTTTTTTATTAGACAGTACAATTCCGTCAGGACTTGCACATAGCCAAGGAGTTAAAGTATGAATAACCAAACCACAGTCAATTACTTCATGTTTGTACAAATGTATATACTTTTGTAAAGCTATTTTTTCATTTTTAGTACCATATTTAACATTTGTAAGACCCCTTCCGTACATAGGTTTTTGTATTATTATATCATCTACCAATTTTTCAAAATTTTTTAATCTTATTTTAATCAAATGTGCTTTACTAGCTGTTAATCTTAATGATCTTTCAATAAACCATATTGTAGAATTTGATTGTTGAATTGTAGATTGAAAAATATAAGAAAATTGAATGTTAGTAATGTTAATATTATTTTCATAAAAAGTTATTTGTAATTGGTTTTCAAAAATAAAATTGAATGTTAAATTTTCTTTTTTCTGATTATCTAAAATACTATTAACTAGGAAAGCACATTTTTCAAATTCTAATGATTTAAATACATTTTCTAAAAGTTCATTAACAACAGTTATAACTGTTCTTTCACATTCAGTTTTTTTTTCTTCATTATACATCACACTAAATAAAGAAGGTACTTGAAAGTCAGGAATATTATTTGTCACAATAAAACTGGCAGAAGGATTTTTTGGAGGAAACAATTCTTCAATTCTTTTTCCTTTGCAATACAAATCTTTTCCAGCTTTTGATATTTTGGGTGCACTCCACTCACAATGTTGACTTGTTTTTGAATGACCATCTTCAATATTAATATAGTGTGTCAATGCAAAAATATGTTTACACTTTTCTCCTAGACCAGCAGGGCATTGACAAGATGCACTTACAACATTTCTGTTAGTAGCATTTACCTATTACGAGAATAGTTTTAAAATATAACATGTTGTCATTGTATTGCAATATTGCTATAATATTATTTATAAGTATTATAATAGTTAACTTACCTCTAATTTAACCAGATATGGATCTAGTGTAACAGACGTTTGTCTTATGACATAACTACTAATTAAGCAAATGTTTTCTGAAGTGATTTCTTTAACATTGAAAACGTGATTACTTTCAACCAATTTTTTCCCTTTGAATTTGACGTTTTCCGAAAATTCACCAATATTAATATTTTTAAATCCCGAATAAATTATTATATCACCGTTCATAATTAAAAGTTATTATATTTCGATATTTTATTAAAAATAATTGCATCCAAATACAAAAAATAGTAATAAAAATAGCATTGTAGGTACTAAACAACAACAAATAATAGCCCTCCAAAACTTATATTTTTGTCTACTATGCGCGCTAGTGTCGATTGACTATTATCTGCACGATGCCTATAGCGGTAATCAAATATATCTATTGCTATAGAAAATATATATATTATATCGACAATATTGTGGATCAGTAAAGCGTCGATTTGCGCCGACCGGACTTATTTAAGTGAGTCGGCGCAATCGGTGGTGCTTGGGTGGTGGTCGGGCAACAGCCGGACCCTACTTTACAATGAGATGGGTTTAATAATATAATATGTATATTATACAACAATCAATATTGGGCTGAGGAGCCGGCCGTCGTCGGTACAGACTTAAATAAAGCGGTACCCCGACGACGAACCTGACCCGGGTCGGACAGCTTAATTAAGCGCCGAAGTTGGTGTCGTGTTGGCCCTGAAAAGGGCCGTTTAATGTTATAGAGCCGGGAGTTGTTGAGGCGTCCGGCGGTACTATAGGCCTGG